CCCCAAAACCCCAAAACCCCAAAACCCCAAAACCCCTAATTTTTATAAAATTATTGAATATTTCAAGGTAAGATATGTCTACTTTAGATGATGCATGAGATCTAAGAATCTCAGGTTAAGTTCAAATAAACAGATGGAGTTTCAAGGGGATATAATAATTTTCTAATTGTTTCATAAGCTTTTGAATTGTTTCATTTGGAACGCTAGATATTTTAGTTTTCACATTTTGAGAAAAACCTATACAGAAAATCTAAAATACTATATAAATATGATTTCACCAAACTTTGAAAATCCTTTGTTTTATTTCTTTTAATCATAATTTTTCAGGATCCATGTTCCCAATCGACTCAACAGCAGATGCAATTGTAAATGACTACCCTATAAAATTTGAGAGGAAGAAGAAATTTCCCTCAATGAACCAACATTGGCTTGAAAATAATGAGGTATCGTAGTCACACAAATTACCTGATTCCACATAAGCCTCATCAATGAACCTAATTTTCGTACCAAGATCCCCACTTCCAAATAATTTAGCTGCTTTATAAATTTCCTTAAAATTAATTCTTCTGTTATTAAATCTTAAAATGTTAGATTTCACCAGAAAGCAGCAGGCCATTTCACCTTAAATCAAGTTACCAAACAAACCACTCGGGTTTAGTCTATGATCAAAGGAGGTGGGCCAAGGAGCGGGATTTGAAATAAGATCCAGAGGACAAATCCTCAGGGTTTGCCGCCAGCTGGCAAGAACTTCTATGATTTCTCAGGCAAAAAGAAATTTGTAGATGCGCATAAGTTGGGATCGATCAATTTTCATATTTCTTCTGCTGTTTATAATAGAAACTCTAAAATTGCTAATTATAAACTTGACCAGAAGAAGAGAAAAACTGGAAAAAGAATGTTTAGAGCTGACCATGATTCAGATAGGGCTATTCAACCGCCCCTTTTGTTTGAGAGCCCGAAAGTGATGATGATGAAGTACAAGAAAATAAATGGTCAGCCTTTAAATGATCAGTTGAAGATTTTGGGCATGTATTGGATTTTGAATTAGAATTATAATGTTTATTTAGACTTTGACCAACAGTTTGATGATTCAAAGGCACATTATCGGACACTAAATAGAAAGCCTCCTATAAATCCTATTAGGTATGGGAGAAATCAGCTACTTGATACCAAAACTCCTTCTGAACTAAATAGTAGGCTCACTCCAATAGAAAAAACTCGGAATAATGAGAGTCGTAATTCTAGTATGAGTAAACTTGGAGGGCGAAATTATTCTAATATGATAATTGATCCTACAAAGAATCTAGATTATTTAGAGAACCAAGTTAATAATGAACTAGTTGCTGGTAATAATAACCAGTTTAATACCAAAATTGACAAATGAAACAACTTCTCTTCAGAAGTAATGAATTATGCTTACAATTATAGGCTTAAAATATTGATGAGTTAACACATAAACGAAATTTAATATCTCGAACCCCTCAGGAGTACAGAAAACAATCACTTGAGTCGCATAATTCAAGCAGAAATGATGCAAATAATGTATACAATACATTAAAACAAGAATCAAGTGGAGAGGATCTGAGTAAAATCCCTGCTATTTTTAGATAAAAGACAACTTTCTCGCCTTAACATTCAACCTCAAACTCAAAACCAACCTGAATCCAGAAAACTGTATTCTAAGTAAGCAATCCACAGCTTAACTTAATCTAATAAGCCACAAATTGTCTTTATCTGATTAAGAAATTGCTTGAAAATCTCTATCCTAAATTTGTAAAAGTATTTATTAACTAACCCAACTTATTAACCAATTCTTAGCTGAAGCAACCCAACCACTCACTCTAATAAAAGACTTCCATGATACCTCCTAAAAAGTGGGTGACTTCCAGTCACCCACAAGGGCCACTTGTGGGTGCACCAAGTCGAAGAGAGGGAGGTACAGAAGAGGAAGCAGCAGATTGTGGTGAAGGGGCTTGACCAGCAGAGGAGGCAGGAGAGGTGGAGGAAGGAGGTGGAGAGGAGGATTGAGGGGGTGGAGGAGAGGAGGGTTGAGGGGGAGAGAGAGGATAGGGAGAGGAAGGAAGAGGAGGAGAGAGAGGGGTAGGAGGAGGGTTGAATGTGTGTTCAGGAAGAATGATGAGAGGGTTAGGGATTATTTGCAGAGGTATTATGTGCCAGAGAGGGAGAGGAGGATAGGGGTGATGGTGGGATTAAGAAGGGTGATGAAGGGTCTGGGAGGAGGATTAGGATCATGAAAAAGAAGGGTAAATCTTTAGAGAAAATGTATGTTGATGCAGCAGGGAGAAGGAGTAAAGATAATGCTGAGAATTCTGAAATTAATCGCTATTAAGACTAGTGATTTTATATAAATTAGGTATTATTTCACAATCAATAATCTTGGTGTCAATAGGGGTTTTGGGGTTTTGGGGTTTTGGGGTTTTGGGG